TTCTCCCCGCAACCTTTCAGAAGTGTAGTTTCTCAGTTTCTGACACCTGGTGCTTAGAGTGTGTTGACCTAGTATTCCTACAGCCTCACTGCCCAACTGCAGGGAGAATTATTCATAGCTTTACCTCCCACCAGATTGTGCTTCTGTTGGAGTATTGTATATGTGTATTGGGGACAGATATGAAGGGACTTCAGAGTCCTAGCCCTGGGCCTTAGATTCTAGCTCAGAGCCAGGAAGAAATCATTCTCTTCCCGTAGCTTCAGTTTGCCCAGTTGTCAAATAAAGATCTGTTCATTCATTCAGTTTACTGAGCCCAGCCAAGTATTAGGCCTCGTGCTGGGCAAGCATCATAATTATACACCTAAGTCCTCACCCTCAGTCAGGGACCTATGTGAGATATTTGCGATCTCTGTCTGGTAGGGGAGAAAGACAAAAGATGAGAACTAATAAGTGACCTGTGCTTGAATGAAACAAACAGGATCCTCAAAGAAGGAGTAACAGTCATAGGGTAGTCGGGGTGTTCACTGAGAACATGACCCTTGAATTGAGACCTGAAACCAGGATGAGAAGGAGCAGATGTGCAAAGATGAGAAGACAGGGAGAATGAGGCTCAGAGGCCCTGAGGTAGGAGTGTGCTTGGAGCATTAAAGGACCAGCAAAGAGGCTGGTGCAGCTGGACTGGGATGAGCGGGGGCACGGTGCAAGAAGTGAGTGAGGCTACAGAGGGTGGGACGTGGCTCCCCTTCTTGTGGCCAAGGTGAGCAATGTTGGTTTATTTTTCATGGAGGGGGCATAATCTTTATAAAGAAGCATCCATTTTGCACTTGCAGAAATCTCAGGATTGAGAGTGGGTAAGGCAGGCTAAAGATAAAGTGGGCTTGAAAGGAGGAGACTAGGCTGTTTTTAGTGTGAGGAGAAGTGGGCCTCTGTAAAATGTGCTTTCATTTACAAAGGGATGAGGCTTTGCCAGTGAGGAAAAGGGTATTCCCAGGCTTCTGGAGTGTGTTGTCAGTATGTAGGGTCCCCTTATGGAAAGCAAGGCTGATGTTGGGGAGAAAAGGATTCAGATTCATTCTGGACTCTTAGCTTGAGATGGATGTTCTTGGATTTGTCTGCAGAGCTGAGTGCACTGGGGCTGTTGAGGCAATAGAGGATGTACCCTCATTGCTGGGCCTGTGTGCTGTAAAATTGATTCTCTCACTGCAGCCTAGCCTGAAGGGATTTTGGGAGTTGCCTTGGGCAGGAAGAAGGTATCTTCCCTCTAGACAGCCTCAGGAAGCCAAGGATCCCCAATGAATGGAGACAGCCCTCCTCCTGCTCTCCTTGCCTTCTACCAGCTAAACTGCCTAAATTTTATTTTGCCAAATTGTGCCCTGCTCAACTTCTGCCCCTCTATGCCTTAGAGCTTAGGTTATCTGTCTTGCTCCTTTGCTCACAGAGATCCCTTCACCACAAGCCCTCCCATCTCCTTGCCAGTCAAGTGATTTGGTCATCTGTCCACACTTCATGTCGTTGAGGAAGTGATCACTTTCTCCTACATCCAGAAGCCATGGTAAAGGAGTGGTAGGGGCCCTCCCACCCTTGATCACAGAATGCCTTGTATCTATCAGACCCTTGCCTCACACCCGAGTTCATTGGGTATCACCTCATCCCATTTTGTGGGTGGCCAAGGTTGTTCACTCCTTACTAATTTTGGACTTGGTGTGGTATAGGAGGAACAGGATAGTACTCAGCCTTAGGTTCCACTCCCAGCCCAACACTGTTTTGCTGGAAGGTAAGCAAGGAAAAATCACCTTATCTCTCCATAAAATGGGGCAATAGTAGGACATACCCAGTGTGTCATGGTTTTGAGGACTAAGCTATGCTACAGCTCAAGTCAGTTCTTGTTACTCATGGTAGTTATGTTATAGTCATAACAAATACCAAGCCATTGCTCCCATGGGAAATAACAAGGTCCCTGCAAGCCCCTGGTCACCATATTTTTCTGGCCATTCAGTAAATAAACATAACCTCAGTTCTTTGTGTGGGGAGGGGAGTAGACAAGGTCTTGCTGAAAAGCCCAGGTTGGTTGAACTCAATCCTCCTGCCTTACCCTCCTGCATGCTGGTCAGGTATGTTCCACCATGCCTGGCTCTTAAAGACACATTAATTCATTAATGTCAAACTCACGGCCAACAGCACCGTGACTTGTGCGTGAATGAGACATGTCTAACACATACTTTTTTCACAAGACATGTCTCAGCCTTCTTGAACTTAGAACACTAGGCAGTCCTTCAGCAGTTACTCTAGGAGCTATTTTAAAGAAATTACCAGCAAAGAACAAAAGGGAAATTATAGCCCTAACCAGTCCATGAAAAGGACATTTGTTTACTGTGTGAGAGCTGAGATGAGAAAACATTGTTACCATATTCTACCTCAGCTATAATGTGTATTGGATGCACATGTCTGTGTAAGGTCTGTGGTTACAAGTAAATCAAGTGAATGGGTAAACTCACACATGCAGATTCCATAAGAAGTGAGGGTCAACTGGACATGAAGTGCTTTTCCAACACTGGCCCTACTCAGTGAGGTTTGCTTTTCCTGCAAAATCGTTACCAAAAGACTGCAAGGCTTGGCTTCTGGGCAAGGCTCTGAGGACAGGGTAAGCTCCCTCACCTTTACACTCTTGTCACTAGTATGGCACCTCATCCTTGTAACCTATTGGCTTTTGTGGATATTGAAGCACAAGGCAGGCACAGACTCAGAAAGCCCTGAATGCCCTCACTGAAGAGCTTGTTCAAAGTCTGCTAGGTAGGATGTGGCACCATTGAAAGTTCCAAAATCAGTGGTGTGGTTAGATTCCTCAAAGGGCCAGGGTAGAAGGGGGTCAGGAAGAGCAGGACAGGAATTGAAAGGCCAGGGAGAAGGGAAAGATGGGGAAGGAAGCTATGGAGAGCCTGGCTGTGGGAGCAGTGGAAGATCCCCAGAAGAGCTTAGGAGGATATTGGCATGAGAGGTGCTGCCAGTCCATTGGTGCTAACTCTTGAGGCACAGCAAGGGAGGTGGCAGTCAGACTGCAACAGAGGGCTGTCAATAGAGGAGTGGCTGTGCAGGTCAGTCTGGCCCTGCTCCTGACCTAGCTCCTAGGAATTCTCTCCCAGGTCCCCCTGCTTTGGGTGGGTAGGGGGCAGACAGGGAAGAAGTGAGGAATTTGTAGCCTAGTGGGGAGAATCTTTGAGATCTGTTTTTACCACAGCTGTATGGTTCACAGGCTTCTCCTTGAATGGGAGAGAAAATGGGATCTTACAGCCTTTGGCACTTTCTCTTGACAAGCCATGTCCACTCTAAGGCCTGGAGCTGGCCCCTGCCTTCTCTGTAAGGCCCACTGCTACACCTCCCACACTGTCAGTGGCTCATGGCATTCACTCCTCTTTGAGGAGTCTAGGACCTTTCTTTAGTCTACTGGCCAGGCTCAGGTATCTGAACCAGCAGGCATGAGGACTGGGCTAGCTTCAGGATCAAGTGCAGCCAGGCTTCCAAGACACTTGTTGGAGCCAAATTCTTGGGCCTGTGGTTTCTTCCAGATCCCTTGTGATGAAGTCACAGGCACTCCTGAGTATCTGAAGCTTTGGCCATCTTAAACACCTTGACATTATAAAACAAAATGTGAAAACAAATTCATTCTGACTGGCTAGTTTGGTGGATAAAATCTGGTGCAGAAGGCAAAACTAATGAGACAGAAGGAGCCTCTACCTCAAAGAAGTAAGGACTTATGGTGGCACGGAGACTACACTAGATGTCTGGGTCCAGGGCAGGCTGCAAGGAGGCTGGGTTGTACTGCCAGCACCTGTCTGAGCTCTGGCACGAGGAACTTGCATGGCTGAGATCAGTAGACAAACATGCAGACTGTGGGGACAGGGTTCAGAATTCTGTTCCTTTAACATGTGCTTCACTCAGGATCTCCCCGACCCTTCAGTACCAGGATTGAACTCAGGACTTTGCGCTTGCCAGGCAGGCATGATGCCACTGAACTACATCTCCAGTACCCCCCACCTTTTTTTTGAGACAGGGTCTCATTGTGTAGTTCAAGCTGACCTTAAACTCATTATGTAGCCCAGGCTGGCCTTGAACTCCCAGACACCCTCCTGCCTCAGCCTTCTGGTTCTGGGATTACAGTCGTGCACCACCACACTTGGCAGGATCTTTGAAAATAAATATGAGAGCCAGCAGGAGTTAGACCTACATGTGGTCGTATAAATTGTGGCATATAGAACATCTGCCTGGGGGAGGGATACAGGGATGCACAGTTCCAACACCTTGGCAGTTGCTGCTGCTCTCTAAAGTTTTAACATGTTCCCACTGGCTTGAACTACCTGTGGTACGTGTATGACTGTCCCATCGGTCAGGAACATGTATGGCTGTTCAAGCTGGCAGGAACGTAATGTAAATCAGAGCCTCGTGGTAGCAAGACACGAATTATGGCCCTGTTGTGGGTCTAATTGGCAGATGAAAAGCTGTGCACTCTCTGGGCTATGCAGCACCCATGGGATATGTTCAGTCAGAGGCAGCCTTGAGTGCTCCAACAGTTGCATAAAAAAGAAGAGGGCCAGGGCTAGAAAGAGCTGGGATGAGAACTGGCAGGAGAACAAGAGCACAGAGGACAGGGGAAAGGGTTCCAACAGGAAGCAGTTCACATATAAAGGCTGAGTGCATGGTGTATTTGTTTCTCTCAAACTGGAAGTGGTGTGCTGAGGGAGTGGGACATGTGACCGAACATAAAGGTCTCATAATGGGAGGTGGCCTAAAACCTTGGATATTAAAAGTGTTAGGGTCCTTTACAGTAGTCAGATAATCTTGATTTTTGGCATCCAAAGGTTTTCAGTCACAGTAATGAGGTTAATTTTTTCATTCAACAAATATTTATTGACAGCCTTCTGTGCTTGAGTCATTACCCTGGGCCTGTGCCAAAGTGCAGTTCCCATCTCTGCTCCCAGCCTGTAGCCAACACGTATATTCTTAGAGGAGTTGATGACAGTTGGGAAAGTTGCTCCGATGGAGGTTCCTGAGTGATAGAAGAGAAGGGAACAGTCAGGGTGGCCTTTCAGAGGAAGGGACACTTAAAATACTTGACAAGTCCGGGTGGGGGCAAAGTGAGATGTCAGCCTCTGTTTCCCGCATTTGTAAGAGGGAAATGAGGGTCTTCCATAAGGTTTGGCCCCACCCTCCTGTTCCAGGGGACAGGACTGAAGAGCAGAGCAATGCCCATCCCCTGTGGAGCTCCCAAGGCCTCAAAATCCTCTGCTACTCACACCACTTATCTCAATGTGACCTATAATCCAGGAGACAGAGAATCTTGAGAGAAGTCCACTTTTGCTTTTATTGCATCTGTCCTGGCCCTTTGTTTGTTTTTTGTTTTTTGAGAATGTCTTGCTATGTAGTGCAGGCTCATTATGTGGCCCAGGCTGGCCTCAAACTCATGGCAATCCTTCTGACTCAGCCTCCCGAGTGCTGGGATAACAGGCATGCACCATCATGCCCAGCTTGGCCTGGCCTCTTGTCCGTCTCATTTTACCTCTAATGACCCACCAGCTGCCTTGGTAGGGGGATCAGACCTCTGTGTGCTTCAGCATGACCCTGGGCCTCTGCAGTCCTGAGTGGCTAGTTTCATCAGACTGTGACCAGCCCTGTTGACTCCTGGGAGAAGGGGTCCCTGTGCCTTGACACATCCTGGAGACCACTGCGCCTGCTGACTTCCTCATAGCCAGTGTCAGTCCCACCCCACCAATAAAGACAAGACCCTGGGGGCGGTCTCAGCCTCAGCCAGATTTGGCTACCCAACATTTAACTGCTACTCCCTTAAAGGACAGATTCTCCCTTAAACATTGTAAGAAAATGGAGGCTTCACTATTCTGAGCTGGGTCAGAAACACACACAGTTAAACCTGCTTCTGGGCCAGGGATTTAGCTCAGTGATTCTGACACCTGCCTTGCAAGCTCAAGATCCCAAGTCCGCTCCCCAGTACCAAAAAAAAAAAAAAAAAAAAAAA